CGCCCCAAGGCAAGATCAAAATACACAAGACAGCTCACGTGCTCAAGAAATCGCGCGGCCTACCTCAAGCCATGGCCCACCAAAGCCTTCGGGGGACGAGCCTGTGAAGCGTACTAATACCACGTCCGCTGGTCCTTCATCACAACTTCCTCCTCGCAAAGCTCCGAAAGAAACTTTGAATCCTCGCATGCTTGCCCATGCACCGGCAACTCATGGCAGTCGGACTGCCATTCTCCAGAAGCTGCACTCCGCCATGACTGCTCTCAATGAGAGGCTACGGAAAGACAAGCACAGCTCGAATAGATGTTTTGTCCTAACCCCCGACGAACTGATCACAATGGCCCTGGACGAGGAAGAGAAATTTGCAAGGGACAGTCCGAGCGTTTACGGCAATGTTATCAAACTTCGAATCGTGAAAGTTACAAAGATGGGCATTGACGAATGGGCCAAGGAGGTGATGTCCCATCTGAATGCACGATATTATAAGATAAACCCCATTCAGAAGCCGCAAGCGATTCCCAGGCCTATTAGCACGGGCCTCACCCCCGCAGAAGAAATCGCAGTTGTATCCCAGCTAGTCACACCTCTCACTGGCCTCGAGCAACATGGATATGTCACAAAGCCGCCCACAAATGCAGATATAGAAACCGCCAAGAGAGGTGTTGATGAATCCAAGGGCTGGGAGAAATGCGATAGATGCGGTCAACGATTCCAGGTATTTCAAGGTCGTCGCGAAGATGGTACCCTGGCCAGCGGTGGCTACTGTGACTATCATCCAGGACGGCCCGTTTACCCTCAGCGCAAGAAAACAGACCATGTCACCGGTCCCTCCGAGCCATACTTTCCCTGCTGCAGCGAAGCACTGGGAACGTCTACCGGCTGCACCAGAGCCGAGACACATGTGTTTAAGGTTTCGGAGGTCAAGCGACTTGCATCCATCATCCAATTCCAGACAACCCCATCTCAGCCAGAAAAAGGACCCATGGAGCCGGTCTCTATTGATTGCGAGATGGGCTACACGACATTGGGTCTCGAACTGATTCGTCTCACTGCGGTCAGTTGGCCCAAAGGCTCTGATCTCCTTGATGTGCTGGTCCGGCCTATGGGTGAGGTATTAGATCTCAACACACGCTTTTCCGGTGTCACGCAACAACACTATGCTTCCGCCATCCCATATGGCACTCCAATGCCCCACATACCTTCACCGTCAGGAGACGAGACAAAGAAAACCAACCCACCGTTGCAACTTGTTCAGTCACCCACGGAGGCACGCGACCTGCTTCTGAAGCTCCTCCAGCCTGAGACACCTCTTATCGGCCATGCAATCGACAACGACCTCAACGCTTGCCGAATCATTCATCCTACTGTCATTGACACCGTCCTCCTGTACCCCCACCCCAAGGGTCTCCCCATTCGTCTTGGTCTCAAGGCGCTTGTTCAAAGGCACCTAGGCCGCGACATCCAGGTCGGAGACAATGGGCATGACTCAAAGGAGGATTCGATTGCTACGGGTGATCTTGTGAGAGTGAAGGTGGGCGAAAAATGGAAAGAGCTGAAGAAGAAGGGACAGAAAATCGAGGGGGGTAAGTTGATCTGTCCGGATGGCGAAGTATCAACATTCACATCTTCATGGACAACGGTCCAGAAAAGAAAGGCCCACAGATGATCGTAGATATGTATTCATCATTCCCATCTCAGTATTTTGTTTTCTAACTTTGATACCCACGCATGTGCACTTTAACCGAGGACAATTTACATTATTATTACGCGTTATGCCAGGAAGAAAATGAGGGTATAAACTTTTTAGTTTTATTCGTGGCCTCATAGACCAATCTTATCCCCCATGGCTCTCGCTCTCAATCCATACAGACGTCCCAAGCGCGACACACACAGACTAGAACCGATCGATCAACAGGGCAAAGAAACGAGTCATGTCAGGAGTGACACGCTTATTCCTCGTCCTCCTCAGCCTCGTCGTTGACGACGTTGTAGAAGCGGAGCTCGTAGACACCCTTGGAGGTGGAGACGACGCGGAGCCAGTCACGGAGCTGCTGCTTCTTGAGGTACTTCTTGGTGCTGAGTTGCAGAAAAGGCAATGGTCAGCAAAACCGCAGTCCAAAAATCGGGAATCATCCCGCGAAATAGATAAACTCACAGGTACTTCAGGTAGCGGCCGGAGAAGGGAATGTGGGCAACAACCTCGATCTTGCCATCGCCGGACTGGGAGATCACGACGTTTTCACCGAGGTTGCCGACACGGCCCTCGACCTTGATGCGGTCGTGGAGGAACTTCTCGAAGGCAGAGACATCGAAGATCTTGTCGCTAGCGGGCTGCGAAGCGTTGATAACGAACTTCTGGGTAACCTTCTGGGCCTTGCGACCACGAGTCTATATACCATATGGAATCGAATTAGCCTACTGCTCCATTATGTCGAGCCCCGGTGGTAGTCTCACAGATTCGTCTTCGACGACATCGAAAACTCGATAGATTTTTCAATACCGAGTTTCACAGTCTTGTCGAAGACGAGCCCGCAGAGACTCCGGTGGGGGGAACAGCAAAGCGATTTGGACTTCAACGTACAGCAGCGGGAGCCATTGTTAATGGATTGGGGGGAGATGGATTTTGGAGAATTGGGAAAGGTCGCAAAGAGGTGAATATCCTGCGCCGGCGAGAGAGTGGTCAAGACAACTTCCTAAATTTCACGGTGGAGCCGATTTGGTTATCAAAAATTCACGGCCAGAGGTGTGTTGTACTAGGCTCAATTAGGATATAGGGTAGGGCAAATCTTGGTGAGTCAGCTAAGTGTGAGTCAGCAGGTCGCTTAGCCCTGGAGTCCTGGAGCCCAAAGGTTTGCCACGCCGGAGTTAACCCATATATCCGATTGGCTCGCTTAACTGCGCTAGTGGCATGGACCCACCACGCAAAGGGTATAAGAAGGCCTCGCTGCCCTCAGAACTTCCTCCTCTTTTCTTTCTTCTTCAGCTCTCTTTGCCTATTGGCTTAGATCAAGTGTAGTATCTGTTCTTTTCAGTTTAATCTCTGAAAGTTTCCGTCCAGGAAACACTTTGATTATTCCTATTTTTGGTCCCC